GATTCGCAATTCATTCCACTTATTTCATTTTATATATTTTATTTTTAACCAAATATTAAAATAAATAAGTGATTTTTTTTTAATATTTAGCATATAATGTATACAATCTTTTTAAAGAAATTTTTAGCAGAAAATAGGAAAGATTTATCTTAACATGAAAAATAAAGTTTTTTACAAAACTGCCCGAATATGATCTTTTAAGCGTCCTTGCGACGTTGCCGCTTTTACTAACTACCAGGTTCTTATTTATCGGTATCTTGAATTGTGAAACAAAAAATCCTATATTTCCGTCAAGTATTTTATCTGTTTGATTATTATCAGGCAATTTACGAGAATTTGGTAGTACTGCCCCTAATTATTTTATCTTATCTAATGGTATTTTAAATTTAAAAAATGTTTAGAATAATCTTTAAAATAAGATGGATTACTTTGAGCTTCAAATTCTTTATAAACTGTTAACAAAAACGAATTCATTAAAATTACATTATTAAAAACATCCAAAAAAATCAATAGCTCTTAATATTTCTTTTAATATGATAAACACAACAGCGAAATTCCCCGAAACGCTTACTGCGTTCTCCGTAAGTAGTTTAACGTTGTCAATCATCGGAGTTTAACTTCGTAACATTTCTTGCGTTCGTTTTAAATACACAACTGATATTATACGATAAAATACATGTTAAAAAACTGCCATCTTGATATTAACGAGGTGTAAAAAAAATAAGGCCAATGACTAGTCTATCTGATTTACAGACATTCTCAGAAACAATTTAGTAGATGATGACGCTGAATATTGCATCATTGATTAAACACCTGATTAGGGAACTATTAAATAATTGGTATCGCATTAATGAGTACCAACATAAAATAAAAAATAAAGCGCTCAAAGATCAAGCAATTAAAACAAATGACACGAAAACAAAATTCATAAAAACGTGCGCACACCATTGACTAAACAATCGCACACTGTTGAGCGATTGTCGATTGTTTTGCAGAAAATTAAACTGGTTACTTGTACAACTAAAAATCGAGTAATGTGCGTAACTCCATGTAAGCTTATAGAAATCAAAGCAAGACTAAACAGTTGTGCGATAGTTTAGTCAAAGGTGTGTGCGCGTCCTAAATGTTTGCAAATGTTATCAACTACTTACATCTTAAAATAGGAAATGATCTACATTTAATTTATGTTAAATATCGAATCCAATTAGAGTTTATTAGCGAAAAACATTGATGATGTTTAAAATTATACGGTTTTAAATCAACTTTCCGGTTGGCATTGTATATCCGAGTAATGATTAAATTTGTCCGAAATATTTATAAACTATAACGCCTTAGCTGTAATAGTTTATAAATAAAACGCCTAAGCTGTAATAGTTTGTCAATATGAGTATTACAAGTAGAATACGAGTACAAGTCATAGAACGACTTCATAATTACACGCTTCAGCGATTTTTCACACAACCCGAATATAGCGTCTTCTTCCATCTTCTTTTAATAAACAAGGATAGCAATTGTTTCGGGGGCGATATATCCATTCCTTTAGCTACCTACCTACTACCTACTGATGCTTTTAATGTATTTTGACAGGACCAAGGTATCTCTTCGTAATCATTTAAAACCCGGTCGCTGGTACCGGTTCAGAGTGGCAGCAGTAAGTGCGTCTGGGACTCGAGGGTTTTCTGAACCAAGTTCTCCGTTTACCCCTCGGAAAGGACCAAGGCCGCCTCCTGCACCAAAGAAATTGAAGGTGCAAAGGATCAGTTCGGAAAACGGTAAATGCACGGATAGTTATCGTAGTCAACAATTTGATGACTAATTTCGATACGTTTCTAAGAATATGGAGATAAGATTATTGATTGCATTACTTTAAGTTAGGAATTTTACTTATTAATTTAGATATAGATTTAACTAATAAGTAGATAAGTGTATACATTGACAAAATTAAGAATGTCGTTATTTTAAGGGCGCAGATTTGTTATAGATGTAATTCTTGTGTTATGTCTCTTATTAGAAGGAAGTCTTTACATATAATCACTTTTAGGGAACGTGACGATTAAATTAGAATGGAAGGAACCGAGATCAGATCTTCCCATCATGCGTTACAAGGTTTTCTGGAGTAGAAGAGTACGTGGACTGGGTAGAGAACTGGATTCGGTTCTAGTCAATCATCAGAGTGTGCCAAAGGTATATTTATAATTAGTTTCAGATCAAGCTGTCTAGTATAGAAATGAACTAAGCTGAGAGAGACAGATAGAGTTCTTGACAATAATCTTGGAAGAAGTCTGGAGACTTGATACGTCATTGACAACTAAATATTTTTGCATTTGTGTGAATTTTTGATATGAAAAGTGATTTTGCAACTTACAGGAACAAACATACGTCATAATAAAAGATTTACAACCAAATTCAATGTACTTTTTACAAGTACAAAGTATAAGCCAGTACGGTCTTGGAAAGTTACGAAGTGAAAAGGCAGCCATTTTCTATAATACAACAAATGTAAATGATGGTAAATACTCTACTACTCTAACTATTCTACTACTCTCTAACTACTGCTATACAAACATTTATTTATAATCTATACTTAACCTTAAAAATATTAATTTCAGATAGACCACCAGAACCTCTGCGAAAAAACGAGAAAGAAAAGAAAATAAAAAATCTTAAATTAAATAAAATTATTTGGGTTGATCATAAACTTAAGGCGAAAATCTCATGGGAATCGAATTTAAAAAATAATGACAAAAGTAAAAGGTAAGCTCTTATATTTTATAAAATCGAAAGACGATATTCAAGTATCCGTAAGAGGTAATTTAAAAATCCAAAAAAAGGTGATTCACTAAAAAAAAATAAAAAACCACACTTCGTTTTGAACTGGTCCAATGAATAAGAATCCATTTAAAGGTAAAAATTTTGTCTGCCGGGTAAATAGCATTTGAGAGGACTATACCAAAGAATACTTGCGTCATCTCCTAGTCGGGTATTTTAAAGCTGGCCCTCGTCAGACTTAAAATCTAGGCTAGTGACATAGCTATTATGCATATCACCTGATCAATTTTTATGTTTACAGGTACTTTGTTCATTGGAAGACAATAAAATGTCAAAACCCCCATAAACAAATTAAAGATTTGTTAGCAATTACTGAGGTATGTATGAGTATTTTTATAAATTCAGTGCTCATGGTAGCTTCTTCAGTGCTAAAAGAATTTGCATTGTAGAGGCGTAATATATTTGCTCCTCTTTTATACTAAGGTGCTGTCGTAGATTGGTTTTATTATATGCGGTTTACACGTGGCCAGCACAGTTGGACAGTTGCGACGACCAGTCGTAGATTTTATGGACTCACAGGCGCCAATTGCCGTTCACACTGTACCAGTTAATTGCCAGTCAAATTATTGAGCTCTACAAAGCAACTGTACTGGCCTATAAAGTTTAGCGCTAGTATCTTTGAGACACACGCCTTAATTAAAAAAATAGCAACTGGTTTAAGATCTGTTAATTTTTACTACTTTTTTCAGGAGACTTCATTTGACATCTACGAGCTAGATTACAACTGCAGTTACCTAGTAAGCATTAACAAGACAAGAAATGCTAAAATCGATGACGCCAATATAGTTATAACCGTTCCCGATTGTGAATATTTTAAGAGAAAAGTTAATAGTACTGTCATTCGATGTAATTCATGATATGTAAAATTCCGCCTATAATTTACTGCTTACCTTAGAATAAGTCTTTAGATGAAAAATGTTTTTAAATTAACTATAATTGTTATCTTAGAGAAAGGGTATGAATAAGTTGACTCATTTCTTATAATTTTTCAATAAAGCTTAAGAAGAAAGCAAAATAGTTCTACAAGAATGTTTTCGAAGTTAGGTTAGGAGAGAGGTGTTTTATTTCCTTTTTTGTTAAACGACTACAGTATGTATTTAGAAATAAGGAACACAGAAGTATTACCTACAATTATATATAGAAATAATACGTATGATGAACGTAGAAATATTTTTTTTATCCTGGTATGGATCAAATGCAGGTCTTTTAATATTTTGTATATAAATATATAAAAAAAAAACAAATAAATAGGGTTTTTACCACTCCAATATTTTCGCATATAACATTCAAACGTAACATAGTAATGTTAAGTTATTTTAAATAGCAATTCCGTATTTGTAGTAAAATAAGTTTTGGAGATTTGTTGTGTTTTCTTTATGATTAAAACTACCTCAAACCCCCAATTAGTCAAACTAGGATGTTAAGCCTAGAGCTATCGATCGAGTCTGCCAGAAAATGTGCTAAACCTACATAGATTTAGATAAATTAGGACGATTCATTCTTGTTAGAATAAACGTGAACGTCGTCCAAGAAAAGGTACACCTTTTGTACATCTACTTGGAAATTAATTTACACATTATTATACAGGAAATCATTTGTGTAGAAATATCTAACAAAAGAAAAGTAATGAGAAAATCTTATAAAACCTAATTCTACGTTATAAAAAATAATCTTCTTGGCTTTTTCCGAGATTTGTAAGTAATGCTCAGTTCACACTTGGCCAGTACTGTTGGACAGTTGCGACGGGCAGTCATAAATTGTATGAACTCACTGAAGCCATTTAGTGTGTTCACTCTATGCCAGTTAATTGCCAGTGCAGTTATCGAGATATTCTGACGAACTGCACTGGCCCAGTGTTACTGGGCATGAGTGTGTAAAAACATTATTGCCACTCTTAAAAAAGCAACATCTTCGCACAGCACTAAGGTTTTAGATGACAACACAGTGCAAGTGCTGCTCACTTCAAATCCAATATTTGCAACCCTTAGTAAATGTCAAAAGTAAATAGAAAATAAGGGAATAAATTAATTATTTTACAATTTCCAATTATCTAAAACCTGCAAATTAAACTTAAACATATGTATATTTCGTGAATATTAGTCATTATTTTGAAGATAATACAGTGAAATGTTATACAGCAAAAGGAAAATGAGCGAATTGTCGCGGATTTTCTTAATTTAAATATGCACAAATTGCACATAATTACACCTTTTCGTAGTGTTTGTTATTCGCTTACAAAATTTTTTATCTTCTGTATTATTTAGTGTTCTTATAAAGTGTTTAAACCTTTTGAAGTTCGGATTTTCCTCTCGGGGCGTAACCTTCGTGTTCTAAAGTTATACCTTTTTTGAAAATGATATTTTATCACTTTTACTAAAAATAGTTGTTTGTATTATTGCTTAAAATGGCCGAGGACGAAGTTTTATTCGACGACGTTTATGAACTCTGTGAAATCATTGGCAAGTGAGTATACAATATTTATTTAATGTCTTTATAAAATTATTTAAATTAATTATTAAAAATACAGGCAAACTACGTTTAATTTAAAGTTTATCACACTATCGTATTTAATTTTGAACAAGTGATTTAAGTTTCTAAAACATAAATGGTATAACCTAATAGTAAAAAATATTGACTTCACTTTAATGAATATAATTTACATGAAAAGATGTGAATTCAATTGCAATAACAGAATATTATAAAAAGTTCAACTATCATTAAAATCCATGCTTCAATATTGAACTATGACATGAGTAATTTTTATGTTTTACTAGGCAATTGGCAAAATCTGTCTACAAGAGTAAAATGTCCAATTAGAAAAGAATTTATTATCCTGCTTACCTCATTATGCTTTTCTAGTTTTTGTAAGTGCTAATTGGTGGTTAAGATCTATGTTCTTAGAGAATAAATAAAATAGAAAAATTAAAAAGAGATCTACAACTTTTGCCTAACCTATTTGTGACTAACAATTTACTAGATAAATAAAAGTATTCTTAGTTAAATTGCTGTTCTGAATAGATCATCTATGATATGTAAATAACAATTAGAAGATATGAATGTAATAGCCTTTCATTTATAATAGCTTACAAAGAACTTATGAACTAGGTATACAGAATTACACATTTATTTTTTCTTCATAGTTATCTGTTTGTCAGTCGGCTATTGGAAGATATAATGAAAGTCAAAAACAAAAATTTATTGGTGATAGTGAATTCCAGGTCAAAAAGTTAAGTAACTAACACATATTCTGAATGAAAACTATGTACATATACATAAAGCGAACCATTGTAGTAGAATTCCTCTATAGAGGACTTTCTAGGTTAGCCAGGACTTATATGTGTGATTATGTTTTCTAGGGGTCCATTCAGCCTTGTAAGACGGTGTGTACATCGTCAGACGGGACAGCAGTTTGCCGTGAAGATTGTTGATGTAGCTCGCTTCACCGCAAGCCCGGGTCTCAGTACAGCAGGTGGGTAATTCTTAAATAAATATTTATATTAACATGTTTATTTTTATTTAATCATGATGTACTTATATTCTTAGATTATTTTAATTGAAACACTCTCTAGGATATTTTTGGGATGTATTTATATATTCTCCAATTGGAAACATACTTTACATAAACCAAATACAACCACTTCATTTTCGTTGGAATTTTTGATTAAAATAATTAGTCATAGTGGTTTTAACTGAATCTGAATAGTTTAAAAGAAAATATGCTTCAGTCCAAATTATTTATTTTTAAAACTAAGCTTCAATTTGTTATGTCAATATTAAAGAACAACATTAGTTGTTATTTTTTACTAGCTAGCTCCCAACTTGGTCCACATGGAAATTAAGAAAAAAAATGAGAAACAATCCTATGTTATCTTTGAGATTATATTCTATCTGTCTCAAACTTCATTAAAATCAATTGTACCATTTCAGAGGTACATAAACAACCATCTATTTAAACTTTATTTATAATTTAATAGCATTGTTATAATAAATTTTGTGCTGCAAAAAAACTTATATAGGTATTATTGATATTTTCCAGATCTGAAACGTGAGGCTACAATATGTCATATGTTGAAGCATCCTCATATAGTGGAATTATTGGAGACATACAGTTCAGAGGGAATGCTGTACATGGTGTTTGAATAGTGAGTATTGTTATATTTATCTTTGAAGAATAATGTTATTTCCTGTCATTATTCATACTATATAAACAATATTGTCTATAAATATTGTTTGTGTTATCAATTGGAACGTTTCCCAGAGCAATTTGTAGATTAAATCTTTGTTCATATCTGTAGTAGAGATCACTGAGTCGGGGTCATGTAATATCTGTATTGAAAACTACTTTGTTAGAAATGAAAGTAATATAGTAAGGTTTTTGTACTTTTTCAAAGTATTATGTTAAAATGTTAGATTGTGTTTGGAAAAATGTATAATGTTTTTGAACATTGTTAACCTAATCATTGTTATTTATTTATTTTATTTATTTACAATAGGAAGCTAATGTATCACATGAAATAAGTTATGTTTGATGAAGAAAAGTAATTATAACTAAAACACAATATCATGGATACACTATTGGATATTGTTTTTGTTATGATATAGTTTATTCATAATGTTATATTTGAATTTCAGTATGGATGGATCTGATCTCTGTTTCGAAGTTGTGCGTAGAGCGACTGCAGGGTTCGTCTACAGTGAAGCTGTGGCATGGTGAGATTACATTAAAAATTAACATTTTGTCATATTGTGGCAATGACTTACATCTCTTAAGATATATAACTGTTTTTGTTAGGGTGATATGTGTTTAATTATTTGAGCCTGGTTTACACTTAGCCAGTACAGTTGTGCAAGCCAGGCATTTATTAAATAGACTCACTGGTGCCAGTTAGTGTTCACATTTTGCCAGTTGAATGACAGTAATAAATCTGCTCTTAATAATTTTCTACTAGTACTGTTTTCCAACTGTACTGGCCAAGTGTAAACCAGGCATTTTGAAATATCAAATGTCATTTATTCTTAGTCGGCAAGGATTTTTTATAAATATTTAAACTAGAATATTATTTTACTCATGACATTTTAAGTCTAAAATAATCAAATGAAAATGATAATACTTAAGATTTTTGTTTTGAATTTTGATTAACAGCTGGTGGACTTATTACTACAAACATTATATTAAATCAAAGCTTTCATTGTAATTTTTGTTTAAAACCAGTGTCAATCATTCAATGTATATTGTTACGTCTCTGAAACCAATTATAATACAGAGATAATAACAGTACATTGAAATCTTACAAAAGTATTTGCTCATTTTTATTCTGTCCATTTAAAGTTCTGTTTGAATTGTTTTTATGATTCCCATTGTCAGCGATTTTAAGTTTTGTACCAATAAAATAAGGCTTTACAAATATTAAAATTCATATTGCACCAATAGCCATAACTTAACCACTAGGTTCAGTGTACTGTGGATTAAAGTATTGTGGGTTCGAATCCAATTGGACGGTTGTAAACCACCCTAACACATGTCTAGAGCTTAGTTGGAATAGTACAAGTAATTTTAGAAAATTAACAAAAATGTACTAACATCTAAAACAAAAAAAGATGTTTGAGAAATAAAAAATAAATTCTTATGTCATGTTCCTAATTTTGAGATTAGACTAATTTTTGCCGTTATACTAAATCTAGTATTAATTGACCTTCAATATCTTCATTATGGTTAAGAAAAAATGAGTAAAAACACATGAAATCCCCTTGTAGCCACTACATGCGTCAGATTCTGGAAGCATTGCGATATTGTCACGAGAATGACATCGTGCACCGCGATGTGCGGCCGCACTGCGTACTGCTCGCTGGGCGGGACAACTGC